TAGTATAAAACTTACAGGACATCCAATACTATATTTTTTCTTAAAACCCAGTACAATGCCAGTTTTTCACAAGACTTCAACAGGTAGATTGTTAGACAAATTTGAGAGAAGTCACAAATAGTGATTATGTGCCATCAAAGTCATTTTTGACTCCTAGCAACCACAAAGTTAGATATTAGGAATAGTGCGGCATAATAATTCTTCAACTCAGCAGTTTATACCGTAACATAAAGACAAACCAAAAGTAGATTTTCCCTAGTTCCAAGAGAAGCCTAGTTCTATTTTAAAACTGTACTGGAACTCATAGGTCTCTTAGGATGCAGAGAACATTTTTTTAAAAACAAAATATGATCTGCAGTTGAAGACTGAACTAGGATTTTGTAGCAATATTCTTTCTAGAATAATAACCATGGAGTTGCATATGGCATTAAGATTCAGTGTGCTAGGATGACATTATGAAAAAGTAAAGGTCTCTAAATTGAGCAAAGTTGAGTCTTACTTCTAAATTAGGCATGCAATGACACATTCTTCTTCATGTAGAGGTGTTACATGACAAAGGAAATTTGCACCTAGCAACTTAGATGAAAACGACATACTTAAGAAAACCAGTGTAGACATTTGAAATAGATTAGATCCTTGTTAAAGAGACTTGAAAGGATGCCATTTCTCAAACTGTTGTCCTTTTATCATGCCTCTGCAGGGAGACCAGTAAAGTTGCACCAGGGGCAGAAACTAATGTGCACTTTTTTCTATGCAGCAATTGCTTTTTGTGATTTGAGAAGAAGCAGTATTTGCTATAGAAGAGGACTTATATATATATATATATTCATCCCAGAAGAAACTTTCTGAGAATCTCTGTTTAAATTCTGTGCCCAGTGGTGGGATTCAGCTGGTTCGCACCACTTCGGCAGAACTGGTAGCTAATTTTTTGTTGTCCAGGCCCAGAATGGACTTCTGGAAGTGGCATTCACACAGATAACCAGTTGTTCACATATTTGAATCCCATCACTGTCTGTGCCCCCTATGTAAATGCTGAACTTTAAGGGGCGAAAAAAAGGGGAGAGTGGTCTCCTTAAGACTCTGAACTCGGTTCTAGAAGAACACTCAGTTTATAAGGGGCAAAGAAAGGCAGAGATAAGAAAGACATGTGGATAAGCATTACAGGTAAGGAAAGTCTGTAAAATCCAATATATTCTACCAATATGTTATAGCTATGTTTAGTAATCTTGGGAGCAATTTCATTTATAAGTTTCTCCTTTGCAAGCATGTGATAGTTGCTCTGGAAGCAAAACCTGCTGTTAGCAATTTCTGTGTGATACTAATCCTAACTGTAATTAAGAATTCTCTAATTAGACGAGAAAGAGAAGAGGATTTTAACCCTGTTAGATATGATCAAAGGTTCTCTTCATTCAACAATTCGCAATCACAACCAGTTGCTGCCAGAAATATCACAATCAGAGCAAATAAGTCAAGATTCCACAGAAAGTTATCAGGATCTAAAAGTTATACTGGAGTAGATTGGATAAGGATGTCAATAGCTGCTGCTACAGCAGCAGCAGCAAAATACCCAGCAGTGCCTATTTCAAAGAAATGTTGATGCCTTATATTGATCCTACAATAACAGATCTCATTCAATTAAGGGCATATCATTCCTTGCCAAACCAAAGAGCTAAAGATCTTTTTTGGTTCCTTTCGATCAGTCCTGATTCTTGGGGACTCCCAGGACAAATCCCTGAAGTTGCCAACATTTTTCAGAAGTGGTTTGCCATTGCCTGCTTCCAAGGGCTGAAAAAAGTGACTGGCCTAGCATGAGCCAGCTGTGCCTAAGATGGGACTAGAACGCCTGGTCTCCAGATTTCTAGCACAAAGCTGAAATACCAGATGCTGCACATCAGCCTCAAACCTCAGCATTTTCCTCTTTAAACCGCTCTCACTAACATTTAATTAAGGAGAAAGATCTTGGATAGTTTAAATGTTTGGTTAAAGGAATCAGACCACTGTTGACACAAGCAAGAATTTTGATTTTTGTACTGAGCAAGGAGTTAAATATAAATGCCTAAGTGGTCCCTTCCAACTTTGTGTTCTCTTAGTTGAACATTTCTTGCTATCTTGATCAGCCTACTGCCTATAAACTATGTTGTTATATCTTGTGCTGGTATATTCTCCTTTGAATACATCTTCATAGAACAAATTAAGCATTGCCAAAACGATGAGAAACAGGACAAGGAAGCAATCATCTGGAGATAATCCAGGCAATTCTGGGAGTGCTGAGGAAAGAAGAAAATCATCAACTGATGCTGCATTTTTATTGTCCTCCTATAAAAGCCTCAGAGTTGGACTGCAATGATAGTAATAATTTGTATAGCAAGAACCCACCATTTCCACAACTGACAAGTTGGCTTTCGCGCCATATATAATTATTTTCTTGCAGTTCACAATCTGCCTTCTTAAACATGATTTTGTGGTTATAATAAGTTAAATTGCCCTATCACTACTACTATTCATCTCTCTAAACATTTCTTTACATTTGAAAAGACTATCTTGGTCAATATTACATCTATTATTAATCCAAAATTGTATCTATAATGGCATAAAGGTAAAAGTATTATGGGGAAACTTTAAAAAGGACTTAAGGTGATGTCCTGGCAGAAACTATTTTACCGATCTGTGCCTTTAGTATAAGTTTATTGGCACTGGGATTATCTTATTTAGAAAGCAACAATATATAATCTGTCAGAGAGTAAATTTGTACTAGAGAGCTGTTTTGGGGTGGCTGGTCTTCAAGGAAGCAATGCAATTTTCAGTTGAAACTTCTATTTGCTATTTTATCTGCCAACAGCACAAAGAATGCTTTACATTAGCAATTATGTGCAGGTTTCCTGAACTAAACTTATTCCTGGCAAGTTTATGCACGTATGTTTTATGGATCTCTCTCATGCTTAAAATATATGAGAGATCCATAAAACATACATGCATAAACAATAATAACTGAAGAGTTTCATAACAAAAGCAGCATATACAACAATGCACGATTTATAGTTTCTTGCATGCTAATTTTCTGCTGGGAAAGTAGAGAATTACATTCCTGCTTCTGGTTTAACATCTTCCAGGGTGCAGTTTAATAAATTGCATGCAATTTATTCTAGCACAGCAAACAGAAAAATTCAAACAACCTACACATGTGCGTACACACACACACATGGGAAAATTTACAAAATATACTGTAAATCATTAACAATTAAAATATAAATAGGATCTCAATAAGTCTATGTTGATAGGAAAAGTTTAACAAATGTTTCACAGAACGTGGAAGTTTGAAAATCTAGCATGAACTTCATTTGGACTCTTGGTCAAGATATTGCAACACCACGGGTTGCAAGTAGCTCCCAATAAAAACTTATGAAAGGGTAGACTGCTATTGCCATTTCCATACTTATTTCTTTTCACCTACTGTTATCAGTGGGAGTTAATGTAAGCAGGTTTTAGGCAGGTTGTATTTCAGCAACAGTGTATCTAGATCATATGTTCTGTGATAAAGTACAGAATGAGTTCTTCTGAGTACATCCTGATGAATTTTTAACTACTGCAACTACCCTTTCCAACAGTTGACTGTCCAATCCAGATATTCTCTCCCAAAGTAGGTTTTTTTTATTGACTGAACCATGCAAATGGTTACATGATTCCTTACATGATTTACTATACAAGAAAAATTCTGCAGCTAACAGAAGTTCATTGTCTAGAATTGCAAAGCTCTTTCATAGGAGTTTGTTCCATTGTGATAATTTCCCTTTATTCCTTCTATGAGTGATGCTTTTTTTATTTCTAGCACTTGAGCCAAGTTCTCTTGTACTGTCAAATTTTTCCTCCTCATTGCTTCATGGGCTTGGCCCTTTCTTCTACAGCAGTTCTATAATTAAATCAATCATTTCAATTTGACCGTTACAATATATTTTAAAGTCAAATATAGACTTGGTTAACATATATTGTTTGATAACAAATGAACTCCGTGGGGTGGTTCTCTTTAATAAATTGTTTCACTTTTGGCAGAAATCTTTGTTACATGTTAACCAATAATACATAACGCATACAGATCCTTCAAAACCAGGATTAATCCATATCCAGTAAAGTATAATTAACTGGCTTGGGATATAACTGAAAGCTATAGTTTCATTGAAAGTGGAAGTAATTCATTGAAGCACAGTATATAGTTTAAGAATGGAAAAAGCCAGTTGAAAAATCTATCGCTAGTGAGCAAGGTAGCAACTACTTTGCTATAACAGACAAATGAATAATGGGCTCCTTTAAATAGGTCAAGGCTAGGAGATCTGTAGCATTTCAAAAGTGTCTGTTGCAGTGCTATCCAGCTTACAGAGTTCAGAGTTATAGTTCCTCAATTTCTGGAAGCCTACAAGCTTTTATGTAAGACATACAGCTGCAAACCAGTTATGGAGATTATATTGGGCCCACTTAAGTGTATGGGTGTAGCAAAAAAAAAATATCCATCATTTCTTTTCATTTTTCATCACTGTTCTTGTTGTAAGAGAAATTCCCAAATTGTGCACAAAGGAAAATAAATTCAGTTCAACCATCCCCTCAGCAGAAGACCTTTAAAGTGTGGATATCTCAAATGATTGGACTGTAATATATGATTAACCATGGCAAATATTTGCTTTCTTCTAATCTAAAAATACATTCAAGTCTTATTTCTTATTCTTTCACAGGGTGCATTCTTCAGTTCAAGAGTGTGCTCTGTTAATAATTTATAGCTCAAGGAATAATTGCTTCTCTATTAATTTAAGTTAGTTGCTTTAAGTTTTCTACTTTATAATAAGCAGCTGACATATATAGCCAAAATTCATTAAAAAAACAAGGAAGGTTATCTCTACCTGCTGTGCAATTAAATACAAAGATGGGTATTCTATTTGACATGCCATTTTCCAGATAGGCTTTTCCCCAGCACCTTTAAAATAATTAATTGGTAATCGAGGACATTTTCTTACTTGTGAGAGATGATCGTGGGAGGCAGCTGTTTGTGATCACCAGCCAGGATACACTTCCTAACTTTCAGCAGTGGGATCCAACAGCTTGCTTCAAGAGCTTGAGAACATTCATCAATCACCACAAGATCAAAGTGGTTCTCAGGAAGAAGCTTCAACGGACCATCAGAAGAAGCACCTAATTAAAAACAAGATTAAAAACTACACTGAAGCCTTTCAGCACTGCACAAATGGAAAAGGACTAGTTGTCTTAAAAGATTGTGTCTTCTGATCCCTTGGGGCTTTCTGAGCGTGGTTGCTTGCTTGCAGATGTTTCATTACTTGACTAGGTAACTTTATCTAGACAGGTAATGAAACATTTGTAAACAATCAACAAAGCTGGGAGAGCAGCAAGGACTCCACAATTCAACCCTGAGATATATATATATATATATTCCTCCTGTATTGGATTGTGTGGTTATTGCCACTCTTCTGGCTGTATGATCTTCAATTACATGCTGCCACAAATGAAGTTTCCAATGATGTCGTCAATTTTCCTTTCCATCAAAACATTCTTCTACTGAACAATAATAGACATAACTAAGTTAGAGTGGATGCATTACCTCCTTGAAATCAACAGGTTTTAGCAAGCTAAGCAGGATTGGGTCTAGTTAACAGCTGGATAAAAGACCACCAGCAAATCCCAGAGCTGCAGACTTAAGACTAGGAAGTCATAAAAATCCCAGAAGACAGCTATGACAAACCTCTTTTATACTCAGAAAACAACATAGACATGGTCATGCCTAACCAGTAGTTGTACCCTCCTTGTAAATTCTACCTTTTTATTCACAACTGTTTATTTGCTATAAGAAAACCATCTGTCAGAAAAAGGGGCAGAAGAAACAGCTAGCAGATTTGTGTGTGGAATGAAAAGAAACTGATTTTCAAGCCTATAATGAAAGAGCTGCTGAGTTTATATCTATGGAAGGACTTTGGGCTACAGTGTGCCTGTAACCTATACTCTTTTGTTTAGCTTGGCAGAACATTCTCTGGACCCAACAACAGGTCAATCTACCTGAATCTTCCATTTCCACAATAGGAAAATAGATACCAATGGGAAGCCCACAAGGAGGACTTGAGTGCAACAGCATCCTCCCATTCTTTTCCCAACCAACTAATCTCCAGAAATACACTGCTTTTGTATAGTTTTCTTAGCAATGGTATGGAAGCAATCTGCCTATTAAACAACAAGGATGCCATTAATAAGTCACCTAACCATAAAATCACCATAAATCATAGGGCCACATGGCCATGTAACAGCTAAAAACATAATTTACAAGCAGAGAAAATGAAGTACCAAATTATTGGAAATAACATCTTTATTCTTAGACTTTTGCTTCCTCCTAGAGTGGCAATCACAATACAGTCTCAGAAAGGGATGCTCAAAATGATTTCAACTTATGTAACACATAGAAAATTACAAAAATGAAGACTTTGAATAAAATAAAAATTATAGTTCTCAAAACAGTAGATTATTTCCAAATGAATGAGCCAGTGGCAATCTAGTGGAAAAATAGCAGGAGTAAGATAACAATGTCAAGGTAGGTCTGGAACTGATCAAGCCTTGGTTCCAGAGATGTCCTATCTTGTTTCTTCTCTTAGCCTGACTAGCTAAGCAGGATGTGTGAAGGATGTGTGAATGAGTGCAGCTTTTAGTTCAGAAAGTAAACAGTAAAAGTTGCAAGTCTGCATTTGTGTCTATGTGTACGAGTTTTTGGACGAAGGACAAGTAGTACTGGAGATGTCATAACATCCTCTTTATAGCCTTCTGGGGTTGTACACACACAAGGGTTTAAAACATAAGAAAAATATTTAAAGAATAGTCAGTTATACAGGTTAGCTGGACTTATGATTACCAGTCACATACTATTTGATCTGTGTTTTGAGTTGCATGTAAAATTACGCAAGTCCTGGTTTATTCCAGTTTAACCATTCTGGGAAAATCCTAGTGTATTGAGCTCAGTTAATTAAAAGCCAGTGCTGTTCCTTGGGTAAAAGCAATTAAGTTTGCCTGCTGAGCATAGCAATAAAGTGACAAGATTGGGTTGCACCAAATAACCTTGCAGAAGAGAGAAGGCAACAATGATTTCTACCTTCAGTTATAAAAACTGGGTAATTGCTCCAAGGGGAACATGCTTCTGGAAAAAAAGGGGGGTGGGGTGGAGAAATAATCTACTGCAGAGAAATTGATGTTTCAACACTGTAAATCTTCATTCTTGACCGATGTCTATGCCACTGATTTCAAACCAATTCATTTGCAGAAAATATATAACTATATGTAGCCTGAACACATACACAGTTTATGCTTATAAAGGGAATAAAAAGCTGATTGTATATATATATGTATACACATCCATGCATAAATGTACACACGCACACACACACACACACAAGCATCCATACATAAGCAAATGGAAAAGTGCTGAGTCATCTATTCCCAATTGCCTTTTAACAAATAAAACAATTTTGCATTTTGCCTCTAAAACCACAATGTTTGACATTTTGCTTCTGACAACCAGCGCAAACCAGGTTTCCAGTGGTGGGATTCAGCCAGTTTGCACCACTTTGGCAGAACCGGGCCCAGGCCCAGAATGGACTTCCGGAAGCAGCATCCACACAGAGAACCGGTTGTTCACATATTTGAATCCCACCCCTGCAGGTTTCTATGAAAAAAGCTAAAGTGGAAAAGGATTCCTTTGCTTGTCATAAAAGCCCCACATTTTTGGAAAACATGCTATTATTTAAAAACCTGGGTGGTGGATCTAGTTATTAGACTAAGCACTTGAAAACAATCTAGACCGCGACAACTATCAAAAAGTTAGAATCAAAATAGAAGCTGGAAGGGACCTTGGAAGTCTTCTAGTCCAGCCACCTGCTCAAGCAGGAGTCCCTATATCATTTCAGACAAGTGGCTGTCCAGTCTCTTCTTAAAAATCTCAAGTGATGAAGTACCCACAACGTGGTCTGAAGGCAAGCTGTTCCACTGGTTAATTATCCTCACTGTTAGGAAGTTTCTCCTTAATTCCAGATTGCTTCTCTCCTTGATTAGTTTCCATATGTTTTCTTTTCTTGCCTTCTTGTGCTTTGAAAAATAAATTGACCCTCTCCTCCTTGTGGCAGCCTGTCAAATACTGGAATACTGTTATCATGTCCCCCCTAGTCTTTCTTTTCTCTAGACTGGTCATTCCCAAAATCCTGCAACCGTTCTTCATATGTTTTAGTATCCGAGCCTTTAGTCATCTTAGTTGCTCTTCTTTACATTTTTCCCCAAAATCTCAACATCTTTTTTGTAATGTGGTGACCAAAACTGGATGCAGTATTCCAGATGTGGCCTTACGAAGGCTTTATAAAGTGGTACTAATACTTCACGTGATCTTGATTCTATGCCTCTGCTTATACAATCAAGGATTGTATTAGCTTTTTTGGCTGCTGCTGCACACTACTGACTCATTTTTAAGTGACCATCCACTAGGACTCCAAGGTCCCTCTCACAGTTACTGGTTTTGAGCCAGGTTTTGCCTAATTTGTACTTGTAACTTTGGTTTTTCCTGCCCAGGTGTAAAACCTTGCTTTTCTCCACATTTAATATCATTTTGTTGGATAGGGCCCAGTGTTCAAGTCTGTCAAGATCTTTTTGGATTCTGAGCTTGTCTTCTGAGGTGCTGGATATTCCTGCCAGCTTAGTATCATTGCAAATTTAATGAGATCCCCTTCTATTCCCTCATCTAAATCATTTATGAAGATATTGAAGAGTACTGGGCTTAAGACAGAACCTTGTGGTACCCCACTGTTTACTTCCCTCCATGTAGATGTAGTACCATTAAGGACTACTCGTTGCGTACTGTTTGTCAGCCAGTTACAAATCCATCTGGTGGTGATGCTGTTTATGCCACATTTTTCTAGCTTACCAAAAAGTAGGTTGTGGTCTACTTTGTCAAATGCCTTGCTGAAGCCTAAATATACTATATCCACAGCGTTTCGCTGGTCTACTAATTTAGTCACTTTGTCAAAGAATGAAATAAGATTGGTTTGGCATGATCTGTTTCTAAATATTCACAGATCTATTTTTTGATTATTTTTTTCCAGTATCTTCCCAGGTATTGATGTCCGACTGATTGGTCTGTTGTATCCTGGGTCTGTTTTTTTTTTCCTTTTTTGAAAATGTGAACATCAGCTCTTTTCCAATCTTCTGGTAGTTCCCCAGTGCTCCAAGATTTTTTAAAGATATGATACAATGGTTCTGAGATAACATCTGCCAGCTCCTTCACAACTCCGGGATGTAATCCATCAGGTCCCTGTGATTTATATTCATCAAGGTCAGACAGGTGTTTTCTTAAAGTTAAAGTTTCAACAGAGGTTGGGAGAAAAGGTTATTCGCAAGTCATCTGACTGAGTATTCACAGCAATTAAAATCCACACAAAACTGTGGGCATGGTTGGAGACCTGCCACTTGTGGATAATTCCCTTTCCTGGGCTGGCTGTAATGGTGTGGACAATACATGTTGACATTTACCACACTAACTGCAGAGATGGTGTCTGCCTCTGAAGAAGCGAACACCACTTTGTATGAAGTAGCCTGTCCCTCAGCAAATGAACATGGTCTTTTTTTAAGGACATCACTTAAAGTAGGATGAACAGAATAGGACTGAGCACTGTCATCCTCAGGCCTTGGAACCTTCCCAGGAGAAGTAAATTAAACCAACAAAGGAGTGAGTATGATTTTATGCCTTCTATTAGATTGTTGACTAAAGTATTTCTTTTAAATAACATCCAGAGCTTGCCCAGAATTCTCTGATATGAGAAATTTCAGAGCAGAAGGGGAATATAATTTTCAGTAAGAAATTGGAATTGATATTAGGTTCATAAATCAACTTTGTACGCTAGATATTTTAATGTATATTGTTTACACAAAATTATCTGCAAGGTTTCCTGAAAATTATCCTTATGGGATCGGAAGCAGTTCCCCAAACATAAATAATTGCAGTCTGGTTGAGAGTCCTCTCCAAGAGGCTGTGTATGCACTTGGAAACAAAAATAAATTCCCACCTTTGCTGGTTCAAGGGCTTAATTATTCCTATAAATAATGCATAAATTCCTTTCCTTCATTAAACGGAACAAGAAAGCTGCAAGCCATGCTTTGTAAAATGTGAGCAGCAGAATTTGTCTGCTGTTCAAATTCACATAGTATCGATTAGTTACCCAATCGTCCAGTCACAGAATAAAACATTGATGATCAAAAGAAAAAGGTAAATTGGGCAGCAAGACTGGAGACCCAGTTTAGTGTAAGTGGTTTAAGACTTCAGGCTAGAAAGCAGGAAACGATGTGTGTTCATGACTCGTCTTAGCCTTGAAAACCAGCTGGGTGACTTTAGGCCAATTATTCACTCTCTCTCACTCACAGCCCAATCCACCTCACAGGGTTCTTGTTGTGGAAAAATAGGAGGAGGAAGATGTGTTGGGTATTTGAGCTATAGGCAAAAATAATAAAGAGGGATACAAATAAATAAATAATACAGTGCACTGTTTACTATTTATCTTTATAGATACTGGGGTAAGAAACAGTTCAAAGATATACTATGCAGTTTGGGAGATTCAGTTTAAGCAGATTAGAGTTAAAAATAGAACAGTTCTATCAGTATATAGGTAATCATTTGATTAAAGCTTACAGGCAAAATCTAGAAAAATTCTCCTAACCTGTGTTCGTTGCAAGAATAACATGAGCTTTTTGCAAGGTTTCAGACATAGCCATTTCTTCTCGTTCCTTCAGTTCCTTTCTCAGTATCTTAATTTCATTTAAAAAATGTTTTCTCTCTCCTTTGTCTTGGGTCTTCCTGGTTTTTATCTGCATAAGAGAGACAGTGATCGCAGCACAGCACATATTTAGTAGTCAAGGCAATTGTAAAACAGCAGCATTTCTCTGATAAAATGTCATTAGAACACCACAAATGCTTTTTGGATGGATCTTCTCCAATCTGACCCCATCAACCGGCTGGGGACAATGCGAGTTGTAGTTTAGTATGAACATATGACCAGGGAAGCAGTTGATAATAGTATTCATTAAATTCTTGATATTTTTAAATGTATACCTGTTTTTCTGCTTATATAAATATTCAAAGCTGCTTACAGTAATAAAAAATCACTACTGTATAATTAATTCTGCATAGTAAAACTCAAAATGAAAATCAGTATCGTTTAAAGCAATTAACAGTCAAAAGTCAAAACTGAAAGTGGGATTTATTTGCCATTTTCCTAAATAATGGAAGAACAGGAGCCAAATATTGGAGCGGTGCTTCTCAATCACAGCAGCTTTAAAATGTGTAGCCTTTTCTAGGCAGCATGCTGGTGAGTTGAAGTCCACATATTTTAAAGTTGCTGGAATTAAAAACATTCAGGCAGTACTCATTTAACAACCACAATTGAGACTGGAATCTTGGTTATTGAGCAAAGTGGACATTAAGGAAGAAACCCACCTGGGTCCTTCATTCAATAACAGTGATCCCAGCACTCCTGTTGCGGTTATTAAATGATCTTACAGGTGAAGCAAATGGAGTCCCTCACAATACCTGTGAAGGGATTTTGGGCTCCGTGCTTGCTTGGATTTTGGCTGCCAAACTTCAAGCAGGCACAAAGTTGGCCATTCTTCTTGGGATAGAGGGATTTTGGGGTCCATGTGTGATTGAATTTCAGTTGCCAAGGTTCAAGCAGGCACGGATCAGCAAGGAGCTCTTTCATCCAACCTCCAGAGATGAGAGGGAGTCAGCAGCAGTTTTCAATCTTTCCTGCTGGCTTCCCCATCGACTCTCTGGTGAAGCTGGTAGGGAAGATGGCAAGTGACAATCACATGAGGGAGGGATCATATCCCCTTGGCAGGGATGTGACATTTTGTGGTAGCTGGAAATGCTTTACTTTTTCGAGGCCTTTGTCATTTCGACCTATTGTTAAGCAACTGGCCATTAAGCAAGGACTACCTGCACTGCAATGGAATAAACATTCTATAGTCTGAAGCCCACAAAAGGCCCGTTCCTGAAAACAGAACTGCCTTGCCTGTGGCAATGGGAACTCCTTCAAAAGAGGCTCTTTTGCCATGTGGGCAAGTTCATAATGGTATCGTCTCTCAAATAATCAAAACCATGGTAATATAGAGGGATTCAAAGTTTCACATCATCTTGAATTATGTCCAATAGGCAACTGACGACTGATACAGATTTTTTTTCCTACACAGTGATCCTATACTTTGCACCAATTTCTTTTCTGAACATTTTAAGGATGAGGCAAATCAAAAAGGGTTGGAGGAAAAAAATACGGTTCTCAGAGGCAGGGTGAAAAGTGAAAGGGACAGATTTTAGAATACAAAGGAGTTATTTAAAAAGAAGTTGCCAAAGTGCTAGTCATTTGCTCTAATTCTTTTTAGTTTAAAGTGATTTTCTAGTTTCTTACAAAAGAGCACAAATGAAACTTGCTACACTATGAGGTATCATCATTACCAGGAGAACTAAGGGAGGACTGGGAGATCACCGTCCTTGTACTTGTTTTCCAAAGAGAACTCTTTATAGTCTCTATGTATAAATTATAAATCCCTTATACTCCTCTGAATAATTAATTGTGGCCCAATCAAGAAAATTATTGAAATTGACTTCGAGGATCCTAGCAATGGTGAGTGTGATGCAAATGCAGCTGACTTTCCATTTAGCAAGAGCCAATCAATCCTTGACTTATACCTTTCATTCTTCATCCTTACAAGTTCTCTAGGGATGTAGCACAGCTATAATATATTGCATGTCGCTACAGAAGTTTGCAGCTGAGCTATTCTTGGTGAAGAGATTACTCTCAAAATTCCCCAAACCTCATCTTTTATTAAAATCAATTTTCTACCCCTGAAAAGGACAAAGCAAACAATAAAAATAACATTAAACTTTACAAAAAATCTTAAGTTGAACAGTATTAAAAAGTGCCACTGAAAACAGTCACAGTGCTGAGCACAGCAGAATTTAAAAGATAGCAAATAAGCAAGCCACTTATTATTTTCTTCTTTCAACCCTTGCATAAATGCATCTTTTTTTTCTTGTGTGCTCTGCAGGTAGTCCTCAACTTATGATTATACATTTAACAACCATCTGAAGTTATGGCAGTATTGAAAAAAGTGATTAACTGTCCGACTTATGACAGTCGCAGTGTCCCCCTAATCATATGATCAAAATTTGGGCTCTTGGCACCCAGCATGTATTTGCAATAGCTGCAGTGTCCTGGGGCCATGGGGTCGCCATTTATGACCTTCCCAGGGGGCTTCCAACAAGCAAAGTCAATGGGGAAAGCTGAATTTGCTTAACAAGATGATTTGTTCAACAATCACAGTGATTCACTTAATAACTATGGCATAAAAAGATTGTAAAATCAGGTGCAACTCACTTAAATATTAATGCTTAGCAACATAAATTCTGGTCCTGACTGTAGCCGTAAGTTGAAGACTATCTGTATCTTGAATATGCACAAAAATGAGTCATCAGAAACCTCAGTCAATCAAAAGTGTGTGTTGATTAGGCAAACCCCTGAAATACACGCTGGCCTCTACTTTCCTCTCATTCCATCATATGGTAAATACACATATCCCAGGTGCCTACACAAACAGGCAGAAGAAGCCATCAGGACTTCATATGCAAGCATGTACATCTGTGATGGATTACAGCCCTGCCTTTTCGTTAGAGTATACAAAACCTCTAGCCTTTTGGAAACTTGGTCTCCAGAGGTTGCTGAGTGTGTGTGTAGTGTGTGTGTAGTGTGTGTGTGTGTGTGTGTGTAACTGGTAGTGGATAACCTCCTAGCACAGAGATTATAATGGAGTTATTGCTAATTTCTGCAAGGTGGTCAGGCACAACAGACAATAATTTGAATTGCAATATACTTCAAACAGTGCCATATTTAAAATAAATGTAAAATAGAAAATTAAATAAAGAAGATGTGATATAGCCCTAAGATTTTGTTTACCAATTTTACAAGGCAAGTGGGGTGGAAAGAGAGGAAAATGTAGAGACCTCTTACTTTCTGGCCTTTTTTCCTATTGGTTATCAGTTGTAATGTTATCAATATAATTTAAAATTGCAATCTCTGTTTGGAGAGTCTCAAAGAAATAGAGAAACGGGGAGACCGATACATGTCAATGGGCCTTTCATGAAGCAGACCTCTTATTTATTCTAAATTATTCTAAATGATTTATTCTAAACTCAGCTAAATGATTCAGCCTTGACCTGGCCTTAATTGTAGAAGCAAACTTAAAAGGCAGTGTTGCCACAGATTACACAAAGTTCCAGTGTGCTGTTCCCTCCTTGGTTCTTAGAAATTCCATAAAGTTCAGAAAATACCTATAATGTCAGTTCCTTCCTGCTCCTTCCAACCCTTGAAGCTGTTCCCTTCACAATCCTTAACATTTATTAAACAGTATCTGTTCATTCTTTCTTGTCTTTAAAAAAGTTAACTAGCAAGTTAAAATTATTAGACAGTAGAGAGCTCTCCCCTAACAGTCCATCTCCTCCTTTTTCTGAAGAATATTCTAATGAAGTCCACAGGGCATCCTCAGAAATGGGAAGAATTTGAAAAGTGGCTTTCCCACCAGCCAATGTATTAAAATTAAGTTAAATAAACATTTCAAGTCACATGGGTGTGCTAAGAGCTGTTTGAGAGCACTGCATTGTCAATCCTGACCGTATTTTAATTCTGGATTAATCAGCCAAGTATGGCTCCTTCTGTTATTTCCACGTACAGGTAATAATAACAGGGGGGGAAAACAAAGCAAAATCAAAAGTACTCAGGAAAGAAGGGCGGAGAAAAACTGAGTGAGGAATCTCAATTTGCTCTTAACAATGCTAGAAAACTTGGGAAAAAGAAAATGGAAAGAAAAGACTGGTTCCCTAAAGCAGACATGTCAAACACAAGGCCCAGGGGCCGGATGAGGCCCGCGAAGTGGTTTCATGCGGCCCGCGAAGCCATCCTGGAAACAGTGAGGGAACGGCCCCTGCTGCCTTGGCCCTGGCCCATGCCGGCCGGGAGCCAATGTACAATTTTGTGGTGGCCATCTATGCTGAAACACATTCAATCTTAGCTCCACAAGGCCATCTAGAAACAGCGAGGAACCAGGCCCTGCCGTGTCAGCCCCACCCCCTGGGTGCATTCTGGGGAGGTGTCACCCTTTGTGAGGAATGAAGAAATGGACCATGCCTTGGCACTTGCCCTGGTCCCACCCCCTTCTGCCAGAGATCCTCAGATCTGTCCCACTCCTGCCCAGGCCCCCACAGGCACCCTTGACACAAACGATGTAGAGCTGGCCACGCCCAACCAGTAGGTCACATCCACTCCATCCACGCCCACCCAGTAGGCTGCACCCACCCTGACCACACCCACTCAGCCCCCAGAGGACAACCGCAATGCTGATGCGGCCCTCAATGAAATTGAGTTTGACATCCCTGCCCTAAAGAATCCTGAATATTCTACAGAATATCCCATTATGTCAGAGTCGGTTACAAAGCTACAGATATTTTTAGTTATAGCCATTCTACCCAGCGCTGCTTATATATCTGAGGAGTTTTGGTTCAATTTCAAGATAAGACACATATTCAATCATTTCTGCATAGCACTGTACTTATTCCAAGAATACAATGTCACAAAGAACGCTACAGATTTATTCTATAGATTATTTTTAAAAACTGCTGTAAAAATGTAATACAAGACTTACAAATGCTTGATCAATGTCCTTCCGGATATCTGCTACAATCTGGGCATTATCTCCACGCAACAGGACAGCATCCAGCGAATGGTGCTGTATGGACTCTAGAAGACGAGCTGGGCGACCAAGACGCAGGATCCGCACCTTATGAACAGAGATCCTTTCCACCAAGTTATCAACTGCAATATTAGAGGCAGCACAACAGAGAACCTAGGAAGAAAAATATCTCTTTAAACGGTATTAATTCACTTCACTGAAATAGCTACAGTCCTACACAGATTCATATCTATAGTTTACAGAAAGACTATAAGCATCAAGGGCAAAAGGAAAAGAAAGGAGGTTATTTTATAAGTGCCAGGAAAAGAGATTATTCTCAAGTCAAAGCTGGATCAGGATTTGACCTGCAGTTTGAAGGACTTTATTATACGTTAGACCTCTGAGCTAAAAGGAACAGTACAAATTCAAAGGATTAAACCAAGATCAAGGACAAAAGTTACTTTGAAGATACTAGTCCCAGCCAAATTTAAGTTCTAACCTGCCAAGGATCTTTCAGCTTTGTCTTTTTTTCCTTTATGTGCCTGATGATACCCTTTAATTCCAGAGCTTTACTTCTACATCTCACTGAACCTCAGAAGATCCAGGAACATCTCTGAGCAGAAACAGTTGTGCTTCAGCCAAGAACATTAATATAGAGAGATTAGCAGGGAAAATGAAGATTTTTCTAGAAATACAGGTAACCTGGATGAATCTGTAACGCTTCCAAAGTTTTTCCTTTACTTCTAAGTGGAAATAAGAATATTATCCATCACAAAGAACCCAAACTGTAAGATAAACATGGTGACTCTTAAAAACGTGTATTCGTGAAATAAAATTATGCATCTTTCTGCTGAGATTTTGACTATCTACATTTCTAAAAATGGAACATAGACCTTGTATGACCCCCATATCCAATTTTTGATACTGCCAAATGGCCATTCTCTAGAATCTTCCAAGGTTTATATTATAATTAAAATTCCCATACTCATGACCTAATATTTTTCTAAATGTATTCTGAGGACAAATGTATAGATTTTAAAATACCACTGCCACCAACCCAAAATTATTTGTTTCTGTGTTAAGGTTTTATTTTATACTATTATCCTACCTTCTATTATTTCTTTTCCTAGTAGTTTAGTATCTTAGATATGGGAGAGGGGATTACTTTATTCGGGTTATTTACCCAGAGATCCAGTTTATTATAAACAATTAAAACTTTATTTAACAATAATATTTTATGAACAGAGAGCATTGGGAATTGTAGTTAAACACAAAACTCTTCCTCTGAGCATAATAATATTACCATACTGTAGTTTATTTTTTCACAAGGGTTACCAATTATTATTTGTTTATATTTATATTTAAAGTTCAATTCCTTTTCTTTCATTTTCTCTCTTTGAAAATTATTCCTTCCCTCTCCCCTCATCCCAAAACCTTTTGGACATTTTGTTAAAAATAGACCAGTTAACTTTTGACTTAAATTATATTAGACTATCAACCTGCTGTTCTTTAACATACATCCCTTTTAAAATGAAGGATGGAGTTATCAAGCATCCCCATATTTTTATACAGTAACAAATACATCATTCTTGCACATAGCATTCTTTCAAACATTCACATACAATTCCACACAAACCTATGTGCAAGCTTTTCATCAGTTCCAACACTGTTTTTCCCCAAACATTAGAGCAATTAGTAATGGGCAATGCAATTAAGTATTGTCTACACCCAAATATGAGGCATCTTGCCAGCAGTTCATGGTCCCAAAGCCCTTTTCATTTCTCCCCCTCCCCTCGCGCCCACTCTGCAATTTTTACACATATGCATTTCTAATACTCTGAGAAAAGCATCTGTATGTATTGTGACACTTCCCAATTCACCTGCCATACTGGACTTAAAACACTGAGAAGGTGCTATAAGCATGAAAGAGGCTGCAGGTCTATTAAGAACTATAGGCAATACCCCTTACTCAGACAGCTACTTCCCACCTCATGCTTTAACCAAAGCTGAAATGCGCCTCATTCTGAATGGCAAGGTTCACCTTCCATTCTTGCCTCAGAATAGTACGATGGCCACAGGGACCTAAGTTTCCAGCCTAAATAGGTATCTCTTCAGAAAATGTATTCACTCACTCACTTTCAAGCCTTGCTCCACAGCTTGGAGTATTATCTCCACCACAGTTGTTGTCTTGCCAGTTCCAGGTGGTCCATGGATGATAGCAAGTTCCTTCTGTGCCAATGAAAAGCAAACAGCTTCCTTCTGGGAGGCATCCAGGGATTCATTGTAGAATTTCAAAAGCCCTGTAAGCAGCAGGAGCATTTGTTCAGATTTCAGTCTCACCAAGAACATTTGCGAGAAAGCAAGTACAATACAAATAAGAAGAGGCTGTTTTTGGACACTGACCAGATTTCTCAGCAAAGGAAGCATCCTGATCATTATTAGGAGCAATTCTAAGCCCCCACTGAGACCTGGCATCTCTTAAGAAAGTTTCTGTTTTACTGCAAATATTTTCAATCTTTGAAAGAATAACAGAAGATTAATGTGCTTTAACAGCCCATTGCCTTTAACTGTTCCACTATACAGAATACATTCTTACTAGAAAATTCCCTGAAAAAACACAGACACCTTTCTTTCCTAAAAGTACAATATGCTGAGCCAAAACCTTAATTATAGCTTTGTACACCAATGTGTAATTAGATGAGCAACAGAGCCTCATAGAACAACTGCTAACAATTCATTAGGCAGAGAAGTAAAAAAAGCAAGAAGCACTACCTTGAAATGGCCAGCAGACAATGCTGGCTGCTGGAAGGATGCAAGGAAAGTACTCTTTAGTCAGTTGGAAAATGTTCCACTGTGTGTGTGTGAGGGGGGGGGGGGGTCCCAGCTAGAACAATGGAGCTGACAAGTATGGATATCATACCTTATTTCTTATTTTCCTCAAACCTCATGTTTTGAGTGCTCTGTGCAAACTTTAAAATCTATATAAATAAAAATGTAAATGTTCGTTTATTCAAAATCTTAAATCTCCGAAAGTTCTTCACCGATTGCTTTGAAATTTTGACACAACGTTGCATTTGAATACGCACGTGTTTTTATATACCTATATTATATAGATGTCACACCTGTGACAGGTAAAAACATGCTTTTTTAAAAAACTGCGCCATCTGTTGGACGTAAAAGCAACACATGCTTTTACCAGACTGAGCCATAGCAACGTGTGGCTGGGTACAGCTAGTAACTACATAAATATCTATACCTTTATTTCTTAATTCAGGACCACCCTTTTTTCTTGATGATAGTTGTGGGGGGGGGGAGTGAAACTGCTAATTAACATCATGTGTAACATTTCACTTCTCCTACTAGTATGCAACCCCAACTGGAATGGGAAAAGGGAACTTTCAGAAGACCCTCACTTTTCTAAAAATGTTATATGTCATTTTATCTTTGGGTGGATCTCAGGAATTGATATTATGCCAGTGTTGATATTATTGTTGCTATTATCATTATGATACCATTATTATTATTATTGACCACCCCGTCCTCCTCCACATCCCACCAACTTTTCAATTACAAAGGAGGCTTTTAGCTTATTTGATGCCAGTATTGCAAGAAGAAGCAGAAGAACATTTATTCACCAAAATCCGGAAGACATCAACTAAAATATAAACAGCACTTTTATATATATAGGGGAGCAGTTGGTAAGTAGGAGTTCTTGTCATCGTAAGTTTGGCAAATGCTATTGGAATGGGCATTTTTAATTTCAGACTGGCAAAAGACACCAAGTGGACAGTTTAATTCCTCTCTAGCTATTGGAGCTGGCACATCAAAAGGGGCAACAATGCCACTTTGCTGGATCAGGATGCCAAAAGGTTTTGCATTCTGAATGGCAAGAAAAGAATTCTCCCTCCAAATTTGCTGCTGCTAAGATGCCCAATTGGAATGGCTTGTTCTGCAAGAAGTAGAGAGATGCCAGCATTACAGTTTTACCATAAAACCGTTTCTCAGGCAGATTTTATTAAAACGATGCAAATAGCAGATTTGTTTAAAACACAAAAAGCAAATGACAGACGTTTGTAAAATCATAGTAACAGCAGGTTTTATAATGAATGGTAAAGAATATGTTAGAAAGTTATCATCCTATATTTCGACTTATTTTTATAGATTATCCAAGCCAGGGGTCCCCAATCCCCAGTCCATGGACCGGGACCAGGACCGGTCTGTGGCCCGTTGGGAACTGGGCTGCGCAAGAGTCAGGCAAGCGTGCAAAACTATCCCTTTCCCACCACCACCACCGCTGCCAGTCTGTGGAGCTGGAAATGTTGGGTGACTGATCTGAGCAACATTTTGTTTTAACCTTTTTTTGCTATGTTTTATAATGTTTTTATGGTTAAAAACGTTACATGCAAAATCAACATTTCTTTTGAAACCTAAAAATAAGAATGTTTAAGTAAGTCCTCTTTCCGCATATAAAATCAACCTTTAAAAATTGTTGTGAACACTTGAACACTTTAACATTTCCATTATTTTAACATGAGCTATAGGGACTTTTCTTTTAAGACAGCATACTTTTAGTGCATTTTCCATTTGCCATGCTTACGTTCCACTTCTTGCTGATCAACAAGGCGATATTGCAAGCCCTTAGTAAAACAGTACAAATTAAAGATTCCAACTCTTGTGGCAGCATGAACGAGCTCTGGTTTGTTAGTCATGACTAAGCGACCCTTCAAAAGCCAAAAGTCCTATATATTATGAATGCAAAAGAAGCTTTTGGCTCCACTTGCCATTTTATACTGCATTCTAAGTTATTCACGAGATCAGATTCATTTATCAGCTGACAAATGCAGAATGAGAGAAGGCATGTCAGGCAAGCTGATAAGGTGCCTATTTGCCAAGATGTATGAGTGCAAAAACAATCACTAGAGAAAATTATAATGCATTTGGTATTTTTCTGCAGAACAGATTCAAGGACAGGACAGCGCATCTATGGTGCACATGAGAGATAGGAGCCAGTTTTGGTATAAAGACAGAAGCTTTTTTTTACCATATTAAGTTAACTGAAAGATTAATTCATGGGACAAATTCCGCATTCATTCACAGCAACGATTCTGCCCCAGTATTTAGACTTCTTATTTTTCACAATTCACTAAAGGTATATAAGCAATTTATAAACTGCCACTTTTATGTTCTCTCAAGCAAAGACTGCAAGTGTTAGGGAAAACAGAAACAAAAATGCAGTATTTACTGTCAATCTCAAAGTACATCATGATTTATGGTAAATTAGTTTGGGCTTTTTCTGCGCACCTTCTTTTGGATTTTACTACTTGGATGCTACTAATATTTAAGAAAGTAGACTCGATTTCAGCTATGGGGCTGAAATTCAGTTACTTCTGAGTGACACCAAGGGCATCTGCACACAGCTATCAAAAAACATAATGCTGAAGAAAGTCACATATGTACATTTATTTGTGCGTAAACTTTAGGAAACTGTCTTCAGGCAGCAGTTCACAAAATCTGCTGTTTCTTTTAGGATCCATCCCTTCTAAGAATGCAAGAACTGCTATACAGGACTTAAAGGGCTGCTCGGTCCAGCATCTGCTCCTACTATGGTGACCTGATGGCAAGGCTAAAACAGGACAGGAGTACAACGGCATACTTTTGTTTCTCTTTCCCAGTAAACACAATCAAAAGCATCACATTTTTAATTTTAATACATCAGGATAGAGCGATTCCCCAAATCTAACTGGAACTATTTCAAACATAGAAGAAAAACCACTCAAACACTAAAAGTAGTCTAGGAGTACCAGTAAGTATTTGATTGCTTACACTAGCCCAGTGGTGGCGAACCTATGGCATGGGTGCCAGAGGCGGCACTCAGAGCCCTCTCTGTGGGCACACGTGCCGTTGCCCCAGTCTTGCCTCCCTCCATGATCCCCTCACCAGCAGCCCCCCTAGAGGAGAGTCACCCCCGAGCGTGGCCCACGCGGAGCAGTGCAGCCAAGGACATGGCAGCCAGGCAGCATAGACAAGACTCTGCCCTCACGCCCCATCATGCACAGTTGATACTGTGGGGCGCAGGCAGAGGGGGTGGCCGCCATGGCGCTGCTGGGCGATCTGCGGCAGGCCCTGGAGGTGGTGAGTGGCCCTGCAGGCAGGCGGGATGGGGGCGGAGCGGGGGCAGGGCAGGAGGTGGAGCGGGGTTGGGACCAGTTTTTGGGCACTCGGTCTCTAAAAGGTTCGCTATCACTGCACTAGCCTTTACCACAGGGGAAAACTCATATAAAATTGATCTGATGTTCTAGTTGGTTGGAATTCAGTGCAATCAAATGACTGCAGGACATGGTGGAGAGAAAAGAGATCTTCTGGAATCACCTGCTGTCCTTGATTCCTAAAGCCAGCACTCTCTTCTAGCTTCTCCTCTGAGAGTTGAATAGGTGGGACAAAAAGACATCTCAGTACAAAAAGAGAATCTGACAAAAATAGAGACGAGCAGCACAAAAATTATAGAATTTTTCTGACTTTACAGGGATGCCTAAGTTGTTGGGGTTTTTTTTCTGCAGAAGCAGAACATTTTGGGGAAAGTGGCAATAGCACTGATATGGCTGTGCTGCTCACAGGAAAATGCTGACCTCTGGTGGTTGCCAACTGTCTTTATACATACGATTCCCAAATTTTGGGTTTCTCTATTTTGAGATTTCTGGGTGCTTGCTTTTAAATGTACGTAAGTTTCTAAAAGTATTCTCTCTCTTCTATTCAGAATGGAATAACCCAAGTCCCAAGTCATTCTGTCTGTTTTTTCTCACATATTGACTAGCGTTTATATAATTGGCCTTTAAATACTATATATATATATAGTATTCATTTTAATTTGTACTGTATAAGCTAAAGAGCTTTGACTCACACAATATAATCATGGTTTATAGCTTAACAGAGTTTAGTAGGTTCACACAACACTAAACAAACCACTGTGTTCCATTATTATATACCAGAAAGGATACTGTTAAAGCAATAATATCCTTCTCACAAAGAGGTTTGCGTAATTATTTATTTAAAATGACTTATATAGCCATCTATAATTTTTGAGGACAGGTAAGTTGTTTCGCTCAAGTATTTCATTGTAACTTAATGTATTATAATTAAGTATATTATTATGCTTTCTAACAATAGGAATTGTGTCTACCAGCACAATTGAGTTCTTAATAAATGGAAACAGAAAAATCAAGAGTCAGTTTATGAAATGTTGAACATTATCTGCACAAGATCTATAAAGACAAATGGAGAGTACAGGGGATGAGTGATGGATGGACATAATCTGGGGTTTGGATTATGAGTATGAGAGAGGTGATAATAAGCAAAATTGGAAAATGCGGTATGACTTTATACCAAAGCAGGAGAGGTACACACAAGCAGATTGGATTGAGAAATGTATAAATGTGAAAAAGCAAGTTTAGACACTTGATTTAAAGAAAGTAGATTATAAATAAGTTTGAATTATGGAATGCTTTTTGTGAATATGGAGTTGAAGATTTGCTGTTGAATGCAATAAAAGCAATGTACTGTATATACTGAGACTAAGGCACAAATGAAAATAAATGAAATGCTTCAGGAACAATACAATACTGAACAGGAGCAAAGCCTAAGGTAATTGTGTTCAACTAGGAAAATGCAGGAAACAATTAAAAGTTACGCCTAAACGGTGAAAAGCAAAACAAATGGACAAACTTATGTTCCTTGCTAGAATGTTTGCTGAAGGTGGAAAAGCATATCTATTCAGAACCACTGTGCTTAGGATCCCATATTGTGCCTTGCAGTCAACAACTGATTTTATCGTTTTGATAAATGAATAAACATTTCTACTTTTGCTGTACAGATCTATAAAGACAATACACAACGATATAAATAGACAAGATATAAATGCTTGCCCTCTATGACATAAATATTTATATTTGTGTAACGTATGCCAGGTCAGTGCAAAAAGGACCGAACAAAGAAAACAAGGTTCATTTGTATCTTTTCTTCAAAAGGCAACACAGAGGGCAAGAGAGGAAGACTTTTTAGGGACACCAGTTGTGGATTAAATCAGATATATACTAAACTTCTTCAGTTCCATGGATTTTTCACCATTCATTAAAAAAAGAGAGAAAGAATTCTTACTTGTATCACTGGCACCACTAGGTTCAGAAGAACAAAACAGCACATCAATAAGATCAGATGCTGGACCAGATCCATAGTGATTAAGTGTATTTAAAGCCCTTTCAAAGAGAAGAAAATAAAGGAACTGAATCTTAAAGACAACCCTTTCAAAATTTATGAAACAATACCAAGCAATAATATCTTAAATAATTACAAATGTTGTGTGATCAGCTTGAAATGACATATCATAGTCTCAGACCCATAATAAAACTTCCTAGGAACTTAGTATTATCAGTCTGTAAAGTTAAATTAACTTCTCTTCCAAAAATTCCTTCAGTCAGGGCTGAAAAAAACTTCCAACCACATGCCAATTTAATCCAATAGGCACATGCCATCTGGAGCTTCTTGTTTCATCATTTTCACAAGTAAAAGGCCCAGGTTATGAACATATGTTGCCAACATAAGCATTATAAAGTGCTCTGTATGATAAAAATGCAGCAGCCAATAAACTACTGAGCAAAAAACAGAGAAACGTTCATGAAACTACGAAGATGAGGCTATCATCCAAAATCTCAATACAATGGAGCAAATGGAAAGATATCTCCCAGCTGTACCTCACATAACTGTTTTCCTTACTTCCTTTCAGAATTCTGGTTATTAAATAAAGATTTTTTTTATTTCTTAAGACATAAAAGTTCCATAATCATCCTTTTATAGTAGTTTACCTTTTGAGTCTATTATATGTAACATCATTGGCAAGTTTCAACAGATAGTACAAATTCTCCTGATCTACATTTACAAGGTTACTCTGAGGCTCATCAACTGCGATTGTAATTGAATTGGAGGCCGTCCGGGTGACAATTCCTGTGCAGATCTGATTATTTTGTCCAGCTGCTTCATAAAGTCCCACTATGTCACCTGCAGAAGATAAATGATGACAAGAATAAAATTAGAATACAGAAAAGATACTTCACATAAAAGCAAAGGAATTACCTCTGAATTATATCTGAAGAAACCACAACTAGAGGTGCTCATCATTCCTCCAGCAACTAAGAGGAATGAATCAACAATAGAGACAACTAGAGGTGAACCATCTGAATTAAGTCATTGTGGTAAACAATACATTTAGAAATTGTGGTAAACAATACATTTAGAAACCACAACTAGAGGTGCTCATCATTCCTCAAAGAGAAGGACGAGGGGGGACATGATAGCAGTGTTCCAATATCTCAGGGGCTGCCACAAAGAAGAGGGAGTCAAGCTATTCTCCAAGGCGCCTGAAGGCAGGACAAGAAGCAATGGGTGGAAACTGATCAAGGAGAGAAGCAACTTAGAACTAAGGAGAAACTTCCTGACAGTTAGAACAATTAACCAGTGGAACAACCTGCCTCCAGAAGCAGTGAATGCTCCAACACTGGAGGTTTTTAAGAAGAGACTGGACAGCCATTTGTCCGAAATAGTATAGGGTTTCCTGCCTGAGCAGGGGGTTGGACTCGATGACCTCCAAGGTCCCTTCCAACTTTATTATTATTATTATTATTATTATTATTATTATTATTATTATTATTATTATTATTATTATTATTATTATTATTATTATTATTATTAACCAAGAGGAATGAATCAACAATAGAGACAACTAGAGGTGAACCATCTGAGTTAAGTCATGGTGGTAAACAATACATTGATTCTCATTCAATCAAATATTGATCAGACAACCCAAGCAAGATCTAAAACTGAAATGGGAGAAGTCTATAATGCTGATAAGAGAAAACTTAGCAGGCATAATAAATTAATACACAATTTAGGGTAACGTCAAAGCAAATGTCTAATATAGCCTAAGTAGGTAGCCTATAATATGATTCTAGCATACAGAATATATCTAAGTTAGAAAAAGCAAAAAAAGATATTTCAAATAACAAGATAAATTTGGCAAAATTACAAGATCAGAATACCGCAAAAGAAATAATCTTAAGGATCAGAGATTTTAGAGAGAACTGCTGAGAATGCTGGTATGCTGTAATTGATTACTTGGTGACAAAATTTAATGAATTGTTTCCAGATCTAAAACCTATGGATAAGAATATTGACTATGCAAATAGAGGGTTTACTTCATGAAGATACAAAGACTGTGAGAGACATTGTATCAACATTTCTCACTGCATGCACAAGAGACAAACTTATTTGAAAGAAATGTGAATTACAAGAAATAAACTGAGAGGGAAATAGTGATGTTATTTCAAAATATCACCAGGCTAAACTACAGAAAAGGAAACAGTTTCAAGCAACTAAATAAGAAATAAGTGAAGGGTTCCTTTCAAATTAATTATTTAAATTGTTCAAATTATTTCCTTTTTTTTGAATATTTCTATTTTTCAGGAAATGAAATCCTTTTTTGCTGCAATTTTGTATTTTAACTTTCTATCTTTGAAATTATAGATAGACAGATAGACAGACAGACAGACAGATGGGGGGAGAAGGGGGGAGCCAAGGCGAGACCCATTGGAGCATAAAATGGGAGTTATCAGAACCCTACACCACCGAGCTGAAGGCCTGCCTACCAAGCAAAGATGGGGGGGGGGAACTAAAACACATCAAGGAAGCCCTCAGAATGTGTGGCCATCCCAAGTAGACCTTCATCAAATCCCTAAAAAGACCCAGCAGGAGCTCCTCCATAACAGACAAAGAAGAGAACAACAAACAAAGCAATGTTGTCATTCCATACGTTGCAGGAATATTGGAAAAGCTCAGGAAGATCTTCAGCCAACACAACATATGTGCACACTTTAAACCCAAAAATACATTAAGACAGAAGCTTGTCCACTCCAAGAATAAAACATCTAGACACAAACTGAGCAAAGTGGTATATGCAGTACAAAGTAGTGAGCCATGTGCAGATCTGTACATTGGGGGAAAAAAACAATCACTTCATAAACAATGGCACAACATAGGAGAACAAACCCATCAGGACAAGAGTCAGCAGTCCATCTGCATTTACAAGACAAAGGCCACTCTTTTGAAGACAGCAAAGTCTACATTTTGGACAGAGAGGACCACTGGTTTGAAAGAAGGGTCAAAGAGGCCATCTATGTCAAAACTGAACAGCCTTCTCTCAACAGAGGGTGAGGGATATAGTATCATCTATCTCCAGTCTGCAACACAGTCTTTTCAGCAGTTCCATTTGCACTACTCAGGTGACCCTGATGACACAGATAAACCTCCAGGTGGCCTCAACGACTCTCTAAAAGAATGCAAATGAACAGCTGTCTGCAAGGAGTATAAATCCTTCCATTCCCTACCATCCAGTCAGAGCTGAAGAAGCTTCTTGGATGAGAAGCGAAATGTCTTCAAAGAAAAACAAGAAAGTCCAGTTGCCTCTTGAAAAAGTACCTTTGGGACAACCATGACCTAGATGACTGAGAATCTCGGTAGACATATAACTGCAGGCACAATTTAGGGAAAATGGATACACAAAAATTTAAAGACAAAATTCATTATATAAAAGGCTTCCAAAAATGATGCAGGCTCAATGATTACTTAATACACTGGGAATTGTGAATCCCCAATCAAATGGATTTACATATCCTTGAAACAGAATATCTTACTCAAAAATTGATTACTTATTGTCTTCTAAATTCTATGTCACATTCGACAAGCTTAAATGCGGCTATTTGTAGGTCAGACCATGCACTGGTGAACCTAAAGTTGAAATGGGATAACATACCTTATACTCTTGCCATTTCAATGCTGTCTCAATCCTTAATCAAGCCATAAAGCAAAACATTGGGTACTAAAACATTATTTAAAGAAAGTTACGCAAATTAAACATCTATTGCAAAAAATGTATTGAACTTTATGCCGTTTCTTTGGGGGGCAACTCAAGGCAGTGCTCATCTCTATTGCTTCTACCTCCTATTTTCCCCATAACAGCAGTGTTAGTTAGGTTGGTCAGGCTGAGAAAAAGTAATTGGCCCTAAAATCATCCAGCTGACTTTCATGTCTAAGGAAGAGGTAGTTTAATATATATTTTATATGTTGTAGGAATGTAGCATAGTGAACCATCATTTGACAGGATCCAGAGAGACTAGGATAGAGAAAGCTCGAACAGCATTCTTCAAAATGAAAAAGGTCTTCTGCAGTCACGACATAAGCCTAAGACTGAAAATCAGGCTTGCCAGATGCTATATTTTTCCTATCCTGCTCTATGGAGTAGAGAGTTGGTCTCTGGCAGAAGAGACCTGAAGAGACTAGAAGCATTTGAAATGTGGATTTACAGGTGGCTGTTACGTATAAGCTGGGTTGACAAGATCAGAAATGAGGAGGTGATAAGCCGCCTGGGAAAGCCAAGGGAAATCATCAAAACAATAAAAAAATGAAAATTAGAATATTTCGGACATGTGATGTGACACCCAGAAAAATACAGCATACTCCATTTAATCCTCCAGGGAAAGATTGAAGGCAAACGAGGTCCAGGCAGAAGAAGAACATCGTGGCTTCAAAATCTAAGGGACTGGTTTGGACAAAACTCAGCAGCACTTTTTCGTGCGGCTGCTGATAAAAACAGGATCGCCAACGTCCGATAACGGATATGGCACAACAAGAAGAAGAGAGACTATACAGTATTTGTTTTATAAAGGATATCAACATACAGGACATGTGGAAATTATCACAATGTGTAAAGAGACTACAAACTTTTGATACTAAACTGGTGCAGTGCCAATCAAAATGCAATAGTGATTAAGATAATATTTAAAAATGACTGAATTGTACAGAAAAATAGGCAAGTATCATACTCTATATTTGCCTGACCATCCTTTTGCTATCTTTCATAACATTCTAATGTACTCCAAAAAAAAAAAGACCCAGATAAGATTTTTCAAAAGCCCTCATGCAGATTGTACTCTGTACTGATGAGACTGAAAGTAGGTCAGGTCCAATGGATTCATCAATTATGCATCAAGAGAATCCAGGCTTTCATAAGAAAATAAACTATATGTAAAACAATAATAACTTATTAAACATCACAAGACACAAAGGAGGCAAAACTGTCAATCACACCAAGTGATATTGCTATCCGTCTCAGGAGAATCCACTAAAATTAACTAGGACACCTTATATTCCTTTTAACTCTTTCCAAGGTTTCTCGTTTTAAATCCCAGTGGGCGCTAATATTCCAGTCCAGAGCTCAGAAGAGCTCCAGTGTGATGGCAAATCCACAGAAGACATTTTGCCATTGGGAGCCCTTTATCCATGGTCAAAACCTGAATAGACAATAGAACTCTTTGGATAAACAAAGCTTGATATAAGTTGCAATCCCCCTCTTTTTTTTTTAATTCAAAGAAGTAAAAGCAGAAGGAAAACTCCAGCCCCAGAATTGAAACCCACACTTTAGGAAGCCATTCAGAATCAAGTTACTTTAGGCCCGTGGTGGCGAACCTGTGGCACGCGTGCCACAGGTGACACGCAGAACCCTCTCTGTGGGCACACACGCGCCCTCACCCCAGTCCTAGGCCTTCAGCTTGGTTTTATAAAACCTTTTCGCTTTAGGCCTCCGCCGCCGTGTGCAAAAAAAAAAAGGTTCAATCAATCAATTTCAACTTCTCGTGGGAAAAAAAAGATCTCGCAAAGTTGGAATTAATTGATTGAACTTTTTAGTCCTACCCAGTCTGCCGTTACCACAGTAGCCACGCCCACCCAATGGGCCATGTCCACCCAATTGGCCGCACCCAGCCAATGGGCCACGCCCACCTGGCACCCGACGATACATAAGTGGTTTTGGGTTGCAGTTTGGGCACTCGGTCTCTAAAAGGTTCGCCATCACTGCTTTAGGCTCTCTGACTAGCATCATCCAGAAAAAGGAAAGCTTTCCAGAAAGCCTTGGAATGATGCTAGAAGCCATTCTCGGCAGATATCATAAA